AGAATTTCTAAATCCTTCCAATTTCGCAGAAGTGCAGATTTTAACTTTTGGCGGATTTTAATGGCGATCCCAAGTTTTGGAAAGTTACACTGTGAAACCTTTATTATTCCATTTCAAACCAGAAAACCTTCCATTTGTTTTAGCAGAATTTTCGAAAGAATTAAAATCATAATATAAGCCTCCATATTATATAACGTTAGGAGTCATTATACTATCTTAAAATAGTGGTGTTCTTGAAAACTCATGCTTCCATCTGCTCCATTTGAGCCCAGAAAGAACCTCCTGTAATTTATATATGCTGCTAATACCTAAGCTTCTGAACATAAAGCAGACATACATTAATTCATAAGCAGAACAAAAAAATTGTAGTTGCAAAGCTATAAACAGTTTGTTACTTGACATCTGTTCCTTTATTTTGTCTTGATTTTTTTTTTTAATCCTCTCTAACGGGTGGGCAGAGAAAATATCTAGATGTGCAAAGATTTTTAGTAAATCAGACATTGTTTTTGAGTCTATACTGTTTAATAATACCAGCAATAACATGATTTCTCCTCCTAATTCCCCATGGCTGAGCTGGATTCAAGGTGAGGGGGTGGGATTGAGGATCAATTCATCAGGAAGATATCAAGATGGGAAAGGCGATGAGCTGGTATCTTCCAAATTCGTTTGAATAGCTTTCTTTCCCTACATAGGAACACAAGAAGTTGCCTCTTACTGAATCCAGTTATTGGTCCATTAGTCAATACTGTCAAATAGAGCATTTCCAAGCCAGTATTTTGTTCTATTTTAGGATCGGGAGTAGACCTGACTTATCTCATGATATAATATGATCTGGGGAGCTGACTTAGCTGCAGCTCTACAGACTTTGTGGGCAACCCATTTCTCTAGGTGGGCATCTTGCCTCTCTCCACCACCTGGTTCTTGGGCTAAACTAACCATTAGCCTCTCTTCCCTCCCACCATCCGTTTCAGCATCCTGTTCCTGGATCCTTCCTATACGTATTGTTTAGCACTGATCACCTTCTTTCCCAATTCAACCACAGTAGCAACAACAACTACTGGAAAAACTCTGGTTATAAAATTTCCAAGATGCTACTATTTCACCTTCACAACTCCAGAAGGGTCATGGGCCTTGACACATGCTTAACATCATCATCACACAAATGCTGTGAATGACGTATTTGCAGTTGTGTCGGGTGTTATGGCACAAGCATGTAATGGCAACATTTATGTGACATCATGGTACCCTTGTCATTTTGGCATCACTGTAGTTTTCTGTGGACGATCAATGGAAGAGCTTTTAAATATAACAGAAAAGATGGCAAGAGGGTAAGAAACCGCCTGAAGGCACTATCTAGGTCTATATGTAATACCAGCAAAGACTGTTTTTAAATGAATAATTTAAACTAGATTGGTTTAAACCAGATTTTATTTCATTTGCATGACTGCACACATACATTTTCATTGGCTCAAACATGATGTGTTAGTTGTACCTTATTAGGAATTTGATTGCTGAAAATCAAGAAAGGTTCCTACCTGCTGTGCAAATCTATTTGTGATGTAAAAGAAAACATGGTGCAAGTGAGTAAATAACTCTTAAAATGTTCTTTCCAAGGAGATATCAGGACAGAAACAATCTGTTATTTCAGGCACAACTGCATTCACTTGCAGCAAATAGGAACGTTAAGTTTACATAAAACATTTTATGTATTCAAATGTGATACATTTTGTTTATAAGTTGCCTCATCTACTGGTATGAAAATAACAATAG